AAAAAAGACGATGATGCAGTTTCTGATCTTGTTGGATTTTTGAAGGTGTGACTATGAAGTGAACAACTACTCTTTCTTCAGGAATATGCGGATCTTGGGCAAAGCAAACAAGGTTGTTCTACCATCGAAGGCTATCGACTCAATCTGCTCGGTCAAACAGAGTCCCGAGCTCAGCGCGGTTGATGAACGCCGGACCCAAGCCATGAAGTTGATCTCCCAAAGTGTGGACGGAGTCTGGGCTGAGCAGCATCTAAGAGGTAGGAGTGAAGTGGAAATGCTGAACCTGCTAAATGTGAGCTTTCATGGCAAAAAATGGGTTGGCCTGATGACATGACCAATATTTGCAAGATCTTTATAAAGCGCATTCAGTCTAACTCGAAATCTGTCGGTCCAAGGTTTTGAGAAGTGAGCCCGGATGTGGTCAGGCAAGCCGCCAGGGGTTCAAAACGCTCTTTGTGTTTCGGATGGCAAACTTAGGATGTTGTGTAAGCCCAATTGTCCTTGCCATGCTTTGGTGTTTACTGTGCTGTGCCTGTCAGACGTTTTGGTCCAAATCGTCCAAGTTCTGAGTTCTGCGGCAGTGCGAAGCATGGCGGTGATTTCGTCTATGCCATCATCTCCTCCAAAGCCGACCGGGCTTAAGGTGAAAGTGCGTCCAGACAAGAGCTTTGAGATTCGCTGGAAAGCAGAGGGGGGAGCTTCTCTCTTCGAGTTGACGATCTCATACTTTCCGTTTCAGGGACCTATGTTTCAGCCCAGCCACTCAAATGTGCAGCAAGTCGAGGGCTTTCAAACACATCTGCCGCATCCAGACGAACTTAGCAGAGCACAAGCTTGGGTTGTGAAGATCAGTCTGAAGGCCAAGTCCGACGGCTCTTTGAGTGATGCAGTTGAGTATCAGATTGCTTGGGATGACGAGCTCTTTGACCAGGAAGCAAGAACTGACTTAGAGAACAAAGTAGAAGGCTTCCAGACGAATGACCTTCATGATTTCGTGAGCAGTAGGAGGGACGACCCAAAGATTCTTGTCCTTGGCCCTCAGCACCACGGCAAATCGTCATTTGTCAATCATGCTTACCGGTGCCTTATTGGGAACTTGGATGCAAATGACCAGTTGGACCAAGCGCCAGCCGGTGCTGACGAGAGGACACTTGCCACAAAAAGCATCGACATTCCCGTTGGACAAGACTCACAGGTGACTTTGATAGACACACCTGCTTTTGCAACCATGAGTCAGGAGACAGAGGCAAAACTTCGGACGTTGTTGTCAAGTGGGCATTGTGATGGCCTGCGACGGCAGGATATGAGGCAAAACAAGTGCAGCTGGTACAGCAGACCTCCCCATGCAGCCATTGTAGTGATGTCACTGTGCCACTGGCGGGATCAACGTCAGGAGATGGCAAGCTACTTGCAGAAAATCGCCGGGGTTCTGAAGACGGCTTCGGCGGGCACCGTGGAGTTTCCCTATGTCGTCGCTGCCACACACTGCGACGAGTTCTTGGAGAATTGTCAGAAAGAGGATCCACGGGATGAACTTGAGAAGGCTCTCCAGGGAATCAAAGGGTCCGCCTCCACGAACCATGTTTACGCCATCACCAACTACATGCGAGGCAGCATGGGAAGTGCTCGCAACAACAAGGCCACCTTCGACTTGCTTTCCCAGCTCCTCGCCAAGGCAAAGCGTGAGAACACTGCAACAAATCAGGATCATTTTCGCAGTTGTATGGCAGGTGGCGCCATTGGGACGGCGTGGACCGCAGGAATGGTTGTTAACCCTCCGGTTGCTTTGACGCTTACTTTGATGACAACTGCCACAACAGTCCTTGGTTGGGTTGGACAATGGATCTTCCGGAAAGTGTTCACCCAGGGAAGGGAGCTTGAAGGGCAAAATGATGGTCGGAAGTAGAGCTGTGCTCTTCTCTGATCTACAGTTGTAGTACAACTGCAAAGGCTCCCAGCACTTGGGCTATACCTACTGCACTCGTCCCAACAGAGGCACTGGTGTATACAGACAGTAGACGTCTACAGTTCCCTTGCCCACACGTGCGACAGGCATACCGGTCACGAAAAGGATCATTCGAAGAGCCGCCGCCGCCACATCCTCCACCGCTGCTGCTGTCTTCGGACCTTTTGACCTTTCCAAAATTCACTTGCTCCTTCCACTCTTTGGCCATGCGTGTCACGCATCCTGCCAGGTTGAAGAGGCTAAAGTGCAGACATACCGGGTGGCCACAGCCCGCAGGCCCTTTTGTTTGGCGTGTTTGTGCAGATGTAGGTGAGGTGATTCATCTTGCAGCAACGAGAAAGCACTCTAAAGATATCAACTCACATCTTTCACCTTTGTTGCAGGGGGACCTCGGGCTGGCCAG